AATTTTTCCTGTTTCTTTTTACTTTTTAAAAGGTAACTACTAGAAAATTTAAAATTACATGTTGTGTCACATTGTATTTCATCAGACAGCATTGATATAGGGAATTTGAGTCCCATATATACACAAATACACATATATACATATACACAGTTATATACATACAAATGCATATATGTGTATATAGATACATATGCACCAATCACAAAGTAGGAAATATATATACATGTATATCTGTGATTTGTACAAGCTCTGCCTCATATGCTTCTAGGCAGCGTTGTGTTATATGATAGCTCCAAATATTTCCTCAGTTGATGGATGAAATATCCATTTCTGCATATGAAAGGCAGTTTAGGTTGTATGGATATGAAGAGCAACCATGTATAGCAGCTTCTCTTATATTTTCAGAGATGCAATTAAAGCAAAAGTTTAAAAGTGAAAACAATTATGCCCAAGAACAAAAGATGGTGTCAGCAATAATGTGCAGTCATGACGATTCCTCTTGTTTCAGCATTTTTAACCTCATTATGTATACTAAGTTCAGAAGCCATGAGAATGTTCAAAGTCCTAGGTAGTAAGCAATAGTTTAGGATTACTATAGAATCACACAAAGTGGGAGCACTGAGAAAATGATGGGATGGATTGACAGTATGAATGATTCTGAAGAAAAAAGTATCATATGCCATGTGAAAGATAATGTATCTGCAATGGATGATAATCAGCAACAGAGGACAGAGGTATTTGAGGAGATGAAAAAATCTCTTAAGTTTGAGTAGCATCAAAGTTGGGTGCTTATTAGTTGGATTCATTCAGAGGACTCAGAAGATTAATCAAATAAAAATGCTGCTGATGAAAAAACGTCACAACCTAGTTATTTCTATGGATTGAACTCTAACTCAAATTGAATCTGCCTCACATCAACATGCGTGATGAAGCTGATAGAGTGGAATTTATCCTGCTGCTAAAAAAATTCTTTGCAGAGAACATTATGGTCAAGTGTGTGATTTGGGGGAAGGGTAATTTGCTTGTGAGAATAGGTTTGAATGGAACTGGTCTATGCTGGGAAAAGAAGGGTTATAGTGGACATCAAGTAGAAAAGAGTGCATACTTTTAAAGTCTAGGACATACTCATCCTTCCTTTTGGTGAAAAATGAGGTTTTGAAGCTTAATAAATGTACTTTGACTCCACCAAAAAATGGTTAGAATAAACAAATTCAGTAAAGTTGCAGAATAAGAAATCAACAAACAAAAATCAGTAGTGTTTCTATACACTAACAATGAACTATCTGAAAAAGAAATGGAGAAAACAGTCCCATTTGTAGTAGAACCAAAAAAAAAAAAAAAAAGAAAGAAATTTTACCAAGGATGTGAAAGATCTGTACACTGAAAACTATAAAACATTGATGAAAGAAATGGAAGAAGATACAAATAAATGGAAAAATATCCTGTGTTCATGGATTGGAAGAATTACTATTGTTAAAATGTCCACACTACCCACAGCAATCTACACATTCAATACAATTCCTATCAGAATTCCAATGACGTTTTTCACAGAAAGAGAAAAAATCCTAAAATTTGTATAGAACTACAAAAGACTTTGAATAACCAAAGCAATTTTGAGCAAAAAGAATGAAGTTGAAAGGCATTACACTGCCCAGTTTCAAACTATTTTACAAAGCTGTAGTAATCAAAACAGTATGATACTTACATAAAAATACATACAAAAAATAGATATATAAACCAAAGGAACAGAATTTAGAGCCTAGAAATAAATCCACACATTTACACAGTCAAATGATTTTTGAAAAAGGTATTAAGAACACACAATGGGGAAAGGGCAATCTCTTTGATAAGAGGTTTTGGGAAAACTGGATATCCACATGCAGGACTAAATTGGACCCTCATCTCATACCATAACATAAATCAACTCAAAATGAATTGTAAACTTGTATTTAAGACCTGAAACTGTACAACTACTAGACAAAAACAGGAAGAAAGCTTCCTGACATTAGGATTGCTTGAGCCCAGGACTTTGAGGTTGCAGTGAGCTACAATGCCACTGCACTGTACTCTACCAGAGCAAGAGTGAGACATTGTCTCAAACAAACAAAGAAACAAACAAAAATAGTACTCTCACAAAGTTGTTGGGAGAATTAAGTTAATAACAAGTGAAGTGCTAAGAAAAGAGCTTGGAACACAGGAGGTGCTTACTTGCTAGCTATGGGTATTGTTATTAACACACTTTTCCAAGGCAAACTCAAGGTTTCACCTATCACTTGAGGTTCATGACTTCCAAGTCCATCAGGGATCTTTGTGCCATCACTTCATCTACCTACCAGGCCATCTCTACCTGACTAAAGTGAAATAAATCAACTCCCTAAAATACAGTCTTCCACCCCAAACCATATTTCCTTTATATGTAATTTCTGTTAATGTACGTCAGTCACACTGGTAACCTTAGAACCATATTTTCCTTTTTTTAATTCACATTTGATAGGATTGAAATAAAACAAAATGCTGTTTTTCCTTCTTTATAAAGGCAATATATTTGTTCATTATAGAAAATTTAGAAAATATAGAAAAAACAAAAACGACAAAAATTACTCAACCCAAAACATCCCAATTTCCAGTAAAAAATTTCCACATATTTGATATATTCCCACATAATTAAGACTCTACTGTATGCACAAATGTGTTCTTTTTAAAACTAAAACGTCCTCACGATTAAAAACAATCTGTAAGCCTTGTTTTAAAATAAGATTTTAAAATTAAAATTCTTAAAGTGAACATTTTTGAAGATTTGAAAAATACAGATGACTCAAAATCTTGAGATGATTACTGTTGACATTTCGGTATGTCCTGTTCTTCTGCTATTGAAATACACATAGATTTGAGGGACTATTTCTATATATGCAGTTGACCTTTGAACAACAAGGGTTTGAACAGCACGAGCCCACTTAGCGGATAGACAATACAGCAGTCGCGGTCTCCCATATACCACAGGGCTGACTGTGGGACTTGAAAAAGCGCGGATCTTGATATACGCAGGTGGTCCTAGAACCAATCCCCGCGCGTATACCAAGGGATGACTGTATTTTAAAAACTGTAATCGTCTACAACAGTATTTATGGCCCACCTTTTAATTATGCACTTTAAAAATATTATAAATTATTTTATGTTCTTTTTAAAAGCATACATGTTAAAATACTTGGTATTCACACGCGTCCGACACATTTAACCCATCATCTCCAAAACATTGTTCTAATTTACACGCTCACCAAATTGGCTTTAGTGTCTTATCTTTCCACAGTAGTGCGCAATGATAATTAAGAACAAACAACCAAAACGCTTAAGAACCCAGCAGGTAAAATGTCTCCTAGACCTGAACATTTCTTTTCCCGCCTCACGCTATGCTGTGGGCGCTGGCGGCGGAAATCTGACCAGGGCCTGGAAGGACGGCGCACAGGGCGGGGCCGACTGGTCATTCTGTGCGCGGAGAGAGCGCCGCCGTCGCCAGCGTGGCGCACAGTGCTGACGCAATACGCAAGTAAGTCGTGAGGCCGCCTTCGCCCGCGACGGCGCTGCGTCACGGGCTTTCGGGCGCTTTGCTCTTAGACACGGCGACTGCTGCGGGGCCGACCGCTGGCCTCCGGCTCCAGTGGAGCCAGGTCGGCGGCGCGATGAGGCGCAGCAAGGCCGACGTGGAGCGGTACATCGCTTCGGTGCAGGGCTCCGCCCCGTCGCCTCGAGAGGTGAGCAGGTCCCGGCGAGACCGGTGGCCTCGCCCTGGCCCGGCCGCGGCCTTGCTCGGCGCCGGTGTCATGGCTCCCGATGGCCGCTGCTCCTTGGCGCGTTCCGTTGAGGCGCCGGCCGGCTCGCGCGGTCCGTGGGCAGCGTGGCGCTCGCCAGCGGGCGGGGGAGGGGTGGGGGGAACGCGACATGTGGGCGGCCGTTGGGGCGGGCGCTTCCTCTTCCTCCTGGCCTACTCTCGACTGTCTTCATTCGCGGGCCCACCCTGGCGCGGGTTTTCTTGGCGGCTCGCGCGCCGCGTCAGGCCTGCATGGCCTAGTCCCCGGGGCTTGGACGCCTACTAGCCTGCGGTGGGCGCCCCGGGTACCGTGTCCGGCAGGGTTTTTCGCGTCTCCCAGACTGTTACTGCTGCGGCGGAGGTCGCAGCTCCTCGGCTTGGTGGAACCCAGCCGGGACTGAGGCAGCCCCGGGGAGGGCTTTTGCCGCTGTGACGGGTGATATCGTACGCATCCAGGCAGGGATAGCCACATTTGCAGTGGCCTGACAGCGCAAATGACATGGGAACTCTTATTGTTTTGAGGCGTTTGTTGCTGGGCCTTTATAAGGGTTCAGCTCCACTGCTCATACTCCTCTCTTTCACTCCCACAACTCTTTGGAAGCTGCTTTTATTTGCCTGAAAAAAAAAAAAAAACCAAAAACGAAAAACCGGAATGTCGGAAATTCTTAATTTCTTACAGACAGTTGTTTACTATGGCTTAGAATTTTTAACCTTTTTCACAACGTGATCTTAGGGCGTTTTTCCTCTTTAAAGGTAAAATAATGTGCTAGATGTGTTTTGGATCAACAAGATTTTAGCAGTTGGATGTAGAGAGTGACGGAAAAGCTGTTAAGGGTAAATGTGTACAGGATTTTGAGTCAGTTTGCCAGAGGTTGAATAAGCACAACTCTGGCGTTTATAAAGCAGGATTTGAGGCAAGTTAGACTTTTCATCAATAAAATCGAGTTGTAACATTGATGGAGTTTGGTAGAATGATCCATGTTAAACATTCAGGGCAGCGCTTGACACATAGTAAGCCCTAAGTATATGTTAGCTGCAATTCATTATTTTTCTTGTTGATGTTAAAAGGGCATTTTTTCAAGGTCTGTTCTGGGGAAGGGGCCTGTAAGAATGAAGATCTAAAAGGAATTAAATATAGGCCGGGCGCGGTGGCTCACGCCTGTAGTCCTAGCACTCTGGGAGGCCGAGGCAGGAGGATCATTTTGAGCTCAGGAGTTAGAAAGCAGCTTGAGCTAGAGTGAGACGCCGTCTCTACTAAAAAGAAAAAAAAAAAAAAAATAGAAATTAGCTGGACAAGTAAAAATACATAGAAAAAATTAGCTGGGCATGGTGGCGCATGTCCCAGCTACTCTGGAGGCTGAGGCAGTAGGATTGCTTGAGCCCAGGAGTTTGAGGTTGCTGTGAGCTAGGATGGCGCCACGGTACTCTAGACCGGGCAACAGAGTGAGACTCTGGCTCAAAAAAAATAAAAAAAATAAAAGGAATTAAATATAAAAGGAAACTCATAGATAGTCATGATTATAAAAACAACATAATTGTGTCTTTTACCATAAGTAGGCCTAGGTTATCTTATTTTGTGCTCACAACAACCCTGTGGATATTGAGACGTGCTGATATTAAAGATTGTTGTCTGTGGTCAGGTAGCTGGGCAGGACTTTGTCAATGGGTCTGTTTTAGTTTCTCTTTGGAACAGTGAGATAGGTTACACCAGCCTATTCCTCCAGAGAAGAGGAATAGATACCTACATACAGATTTTAATTTCAAACTGCTGGCATAGTCATAAATAAGAATGTGGTGATAGAGTCTAAAACAACCTTACTGAGGGTTTCTATAATGCCTCCTGAAATTGACATGACTTTATATATTTTTTTTAAAGCTAGTTTAGAGCCTTCATGAGAGTCTTGGTGGGAACCTTAGCCCCCAAAAGATTAAAAACCACTGGTCTCTACAGAAGTTAGAATGTTCTTTCAGCTACATAACTTTTCCATCAAATAAAATAATGGGGGTAGAATTTTAAGAATTGGTTATTATTGCCACCTCTCTCTTACACTTAAAAAGTATTAAGTTGAAATCGTTTATCTTAGTACCTGGGAATTTCAGTGGAATATAAATCAGTTAGTAAGTTTGGAATATGGGAAGCTATTCTATAAAATTAGGTTTGAGTGAAATGCCAAAACAGGATGCATTGGATAACGTGGAAGGGAGATAGTGGAGGGAGCAGAGGCAGTGGCTGTGAAGAAAAGAAAGAAATTACTATTTATTTCTCTCCCAATTTGGCAGGGGCTGGCCATCTGTGAACTGACCATGCTTTCTAGAATGTCTTGGTTCTGGAGTGGGTTGATGTGTCTGTAATCTCATATCTTCCAGTTTTTCATTATGCTTTCATTTGTTCATCTCCTTCGTTTTGCCTTTTTCCTACTCCCTCATGTCTGCTTTTGCCCTTGCTGAAAATAATCATTCTTTCTGTAATTTTTCTTTTTCCAGATGGCTTATTTTTAGTTTTTCTAGATTCTGTCTAGTTGGCCTCTCATTCTGCAACTGATTCCAACACCTCAGAGGCTTCTTGACAGCTTTTATTTATTTTTTATTTTATAC